GATACAAGCAATGGCACTTTATAGACAGGGTCGGGTACAATGGAAATGATGTCATTAGTAGTTGTTTATGTACAAGTGACTTCACGGAAGTATAATTTGTTAAGATAGGAATTAGTATTTGTAAATTGATATTTTTAAATTCTGCAGTAAAAATCCTTTTTTTAATTAAGTTTATTGACAACTTGTCATGGCTATTGGTGCGTTTATTATGGAAATCATTTGAAATCCAATTTAAAAAAATATTTGGACTTTTAACTTTAATAGTAAACTATTTGTGTGATTTATCGTACTCAATCGAAGCTAGCAATGCATTTTTTTGGTTCATTTAGAAAATGTCATTGACTTGGCACAAAATACTAATTTGGTCAAATTTCTCCGAATTACTAGGAATCTTCAACAAAACTTTAATAGAGTGTATTTTTCTGTAGACGGGTATATGTCTCAGTACAGTCTATGTGTGTCACTACTACCAATAACCACTTTAACGATATAGTTTAAAGGTTACTTTCCAAATTGCAGGTACTGTATATGTCATACGCACATACATCTGTGGTATGTGCATAATGAGATCACTGACAGGATTTGTTTTGATAATATATGTGTAATAATTGATGTCAATTTGTTGTTATTATTTTTAGTGTAAAACGTATCAGTGTTCAGTTCTATGAAGCTTACTTTTTTCACGTTGATCATCTTTAATTGCAATTGCACCGGTGAGATTTCTCTTTGTGTAGATGCCCAAATAATGGAAGATTTATACATTATAATTACTTTATACTAGTGCCAATGATCCGTGGTACATCGTAGCTATTCCAGAATGTAAACTAGTTATTACACTTAAATAAATAAAACATTAGTATATTAGGCCCATTTTATATGATATTTCAATCGTGTGCATGCGACGCAAAACTTAATATTTTGCCAAATATTTTGATTTCAATTATTTCCACGGGATAGCAAATTTAGTATTTTTTGACAAATTTGTAATTCATTATCAGTATCAGTGTGTTTAAATTTCCGCGAATTAACATTATGGCATTTTACGTCTGTCAAATATCGGCCAAATAAATACGTGGATTCAATAATTACCAAGGACCTGGCGTAGAATTGGAAATTACTCCAAATAAACAAATGTCCAATTCGGGAACAGAATAATAGTATAATTGGTTATTGATGAAATAGAAGGGCACCACCAGACGGTCTGGCTTAACAAGCGCGTTGTGTTTCTCTCCTGAAGTTGACGCTGGTCGTGCACAAAGGAAGCCGCTCATCCCGCCATTGGATGGCGGCACATCGTGTATGTGGTGTTTACAAAGGACGTGGAGATGATCCGTGGTACATCGTGACCAATAATAAAACGATTGGTTGTCCAACTGTGGGCGTGTCTTTTATTTCTGCGCTAAATGTACAACACCAAAGTCCCGCCATTTATTTTTCATGGTTGTTCGACCATAGTCGTCTGCACCAGTATCACTATCACGAGTTTTAAGTTTGGTTTACTATGTTGGCCGCTCGACACCACAGCGCGGCCTCTCTCTAGGTACCGATGCCCAACTCGGCGTCCCGGGGAGGAAATCTACTCACCACGCCACGCCACCTCGACACCTCTCCTTCCCGGAAACATGCTTTCCAATACGAGACTGATTTCTCTATAAGTTCGGCCATTTAAAATCATATTCTGGACAGGATTTGTATCAATTAAATGGTCGGCTTCCATTGCTGCTCCAAATCATTCAGAAAATAGCAGCGAAAAAACCTCGCAAATTCACCGCCACTTCACAGCGGTTTTCACACAGACACCAGTTAATTCCTTTACCCAATGGCTGAAGCAATTTCACATCGACCAGACACGCCCCAAAACAGATGACGAGATTTGACAGGATTGGTCAATGCGCATGCGTATAAAACAGCTGGTACTAATATCCTAATTTCCTAATAACGTATTTTACACTCGTACAATGCAAAATACATATTTGATTAGGTTGGTTGGCCATCAAGTACCATCCTATGGCACCCAATTCATATATCACCAAAACCATAGTACAGAGTTATGTTAACAGCGAGTCAAAAATAAGACTAATATACTAAATTTGTATTTAATTAATTGTAAGGATGAGATTACATTGTGAAATGGCCACGACGTACCACAGATCGTCAATATTGTGATAATAATCAAACAACACTCATGAAATGCAAGATCATTGTCATGCAGGCGTAAGAGTTATGTCTGCCTGTTTCTTGAGTGTTTCTCGAACATCTCACTTCTTCTTAAGTTTCTTTCAGGAAATATGGTTAACGTCCTGGCGAGTGCTTTGGAGCACTATATTAAAGGGTGGTAGTCGTCGCGCCCACATGCGCTAGATATATGGGTCTCATATAAACAAAGCTGACGACTTTGACTGTTGCGCAGATCAACCAGTACAAATTGAGACGTTACCAAGCTTTAATTAGGTATTTTAGGTGTTCGGAAGGTAATTAGTGCTAGTCGCGCTCACGTCAAACCTCATACTTGTGATTTCCATTAGAAGAGCTCATTGGATTGTGGGAAAATCAATGTTTATTAACACAAATGTCGCACATGTGCAGTGCGACGACCACCGCCCTTGAAACTAAGCGAAATATAGAAATCGTTGTATTGGTAAATATGTTCACAGTAAATTAGTGGCAATAAATTATTTGTCTGATTCTTACCTCACTATTGCACGTTGCTCGCATTTTGAGCGTAACGGCGCTACCTACGTTATGAAAACACTGCCATACTTCAAGTAGGTTAATCCATAGACCCTCTAAAAGAGGGTCTATGGTTAATCTACCTACAATAATACATACTAAAATTGGTTTGAATACTAGTATATAGTCGTTTTGTGTTGTATTAAACTAAATATATCCTCGGTCGTCAGGCGACGTCCACAACAAATCAGAAGCCCGTGCCTATAACTATTGTTGGTAATGGATTTATTACCAACGTTTAGCTATTTGTAGATATATCGGCGTGATTGAATCGCAGCCAGTACCATATTTGGGCAACTGGATGATCTGTGACTTTGAGGTTATCAAGTTAACCAACTTTTCAAGGCGCGTGCGTCAGTATGTATAGTAATATGGTCAACAATGGACCATGTGTTATTCACAAGTAAATTGTTGTACTCGGCTGTCAGACTGCAGGAAACATGAATGAAGTAGTATAGTAATGTGAGGCGAGATTTGAAATCCTGTCCTTTTTGAGTGGTATACATTTTCATTTTCATTCAATTTGATAACTTCCGAATCAGCAAACTCTCTAAATGACTGCATGTATATAACCATGGTAACATTTATTACTGGGGGAAATCATTCAAGAATGAAACCATAAAGAAGAAATTCCGGCATATCGTATGGTGGCTAAAAATGTCTATTCAGTGTCCACAGTATTAGACGTTGTTTTGTTTCAAATCGTCACCCTTGTACTTGTTTTACATATCAAAGGAATTGTTTAGGGTTCATCTATACTCAATGTATGTAAATTAGTACAGTGTACAGTGTGTTTACGTGCATCGTTCTGCGTAAACAGTGTAATCAGTGACTAAGAACTGCGTTAGTACCGACATTTCAACTACAGCAAGGCAGAATATTTTACTCTCGGGTACACACTAAGGAAATCTTGGTAGTTTCGATGAACCTGTAACACGCACCTCAACAATATTGCCCATCATCAAATAACTAATATATTAGTCCAGTACACAGTGGGCATGACAAAATAGTTATGGTATATCAATATTGCAAAATAACTGTCATAATATATTTGTGGAAACGTTCTTGATTAGAATCAGAATTTCTGTAATGCAGACATGTTTATGTCCCAGTAATATGTTTCTAGCTTGTTCTAATTGTCTGTACTGGCAACCTTGAAACATTGCATAATTGATCTGACATTTTTTTTTTACTGATATTATCCGTAATAATTATGTAACAGCTAATATAAGTGTAAAAGTATATTAAGGTAAGCTGAACCATTTTCTTTGTGTTGCTGCCTCCTTCTGCATAACATGCATAACTTTCTAAAATCTCACCTGCTATGTTTGATGCAATATTATGGATTAACATTGCAATATTAAAATTAAAAATTGTATATATATACATATATATATATATATATATATATATATATATATATATATATATATATATATATATATATATATATATATATATATATATATATATAAAATATATATATATATATATATAATTCAGTATTCAAAAACCATTGGGTATCATGAATCATGTTGATACACACGTTTCGAAGACAGTAATTCAACTTGTCCGTGGACGACACTTTACATTTGTGTACGCTTTCTAATTAACGTAAGCCATTTTCTTAAACAGCTGTATAACAATGGTGCCTGGCTGGGCTATCCTATAATGACTATGTATGAGTAATTTTATTGTGACTAACAATAGAGACAGGCACGACATCTCGGTCACAATGTCAGTGACGCAAAGCATGTCAACAATGGAGATATCCCGAACTCTTGCAGAACAGAGCATAAATACCGAGAAGGTGTTCTCAGTTTCAGCAGAACATCACATGCTTCTCTGAAGAACACGACACGAAATCAACCGTGAATACGAAAAAACTGTGTACGACTGGTGAGTGGAATATCCTTTTTTTTCTAGTTTTCCATTTTTTAGTTTGTTCGTTCTAATGTAATGCATAACTAATGTCACAATGTCTGTATGTTCGATTGAGTTTGACGAAACAGGGACCGTAAAGTTGAGACCTTCATGAGACAAGAGAGTTTCACTCTACTGGAGATCAAACTAACTGTTTTTAATGTTTGTAATTACTGACACGAGTTAATATTACCTTACACATCTGTGTAAGTAAGTGACATTCAATAACATGACTTATTTCCAACAAAGTAACATTTGATCATTTGTTTTACTTACAGATCAATCATGAAGTTACATGTGACGCTCTTCGTATGCCTTGCAGTAACAGTTGCCTTGGTAACCAGTCTACCTGCACGGGGACGCCGACCTGGTGGCAGACCAATGCGACCTGATAGACCAGAAGGTGCGAGCAGACCAGGAAGACCTGAAAAGCCAGACAGACCAGTGGGCGCAGACAGACCAGAGCGACCAGACGGACAAGATGAGGAAGACTGCGATAATTTCGAAGACGATGACACGATAAATAGCGATGAGAACGCATCATCCCGCCGAAGACGACCGCACGGATCACGTCCCTGTAAACCACGACCCAGTGGAATGCCATCACGTCCATCCGGTCATCCACCACGTCCCTCTGGTCATCCGCCCCGTCCATCCGGTCATCCACCACGTCCCTCTGGTCATCCACCTCGTCCATCAGACCTACCACCACGTTTCACTGGTGAGCCAATTTTTCCGACACAAGAGGGCGATGTCGGTGTTGAAGGTTTTGAATAACATTTTAAATACAACATAGCATTATGATAAGTTTTGATTCGTTTCAATTGAACACTGTCAATCATGATTTCTTGATTATATCAATCTGCATAAGTATCACACATTTGATTGTCTGGACAGATATATTGAGGGCAGGTCCTATGTACGATTATTTCATTTATTTTTTCAAGAAAACGTGTTTTATTATGTTAATATTAAAATAAAAAAAGATATTTAATATTAAATTACAGACTGTGTCTCGTCACTAGAATCAACTGCGTCAGCGCTAAATGATTAATTTAAACTGAAATGTCCCCATAGAAACCATACACATACAAGAAGTAAACCATGAGATACGGTAACAAGACAAATTTCTACACGCCTTTTTCATAATATATTTCTTATATATTAGTGTCATTAATCGACCAACTGCCACCCTAAACTTTTCCCTGGATATGAAAATCAACAACGTCATTCACCCCCGACAAGAGATGCTAGCGTGGTTAACAAATTAGCTGCGAAGGAACCAGCTTCCCGAAAATGCCAGTGAAACTCCTTTTGTTTTGAATTACGTCATGTATTGCCCCCCTAGGCTAGTAAATAAAATCAAAGCAGCCACTTATGTGGTGTTTCCCACACTAATTTCATTCACAAAGTAATTGTTTTCTACTAGCGAATTTGCTGCCATCTGACTATCAGAACACATTATATGTTACGTCACTTTTTTCACCACATTGTCAACCAAATTGTTTACGAGTTTTACGAAAATTACACAATTTATTCAAAGAGAAGCGAAATGGAAAGAAATGAAAGCTGCCTCTCCAATATCATACTAAGCAGCGGAAACTCAACTCCAACTCACAAAATGAAAATGATAATTTAGTTTCACGTGAAAATCATATTTGTGTTCTTTTCTGATAAGACATATAGTGTGTTTTGTCATCATTATATAGATTTATAGTGAAGCAGACACAATCATACTAATTATGTTTCAATCGTCAGCTATTTACAAATTGCACGTAAGTGTAAGCGTGGTAAGTGTACCACCCACATTTTAAAAATAGGCCATGGTCCGATCTTAACGTCGATAATCTACATACAATAATACAAACACTAAAATGAGTTTTACTACATGGTTGTGTTGTGTTGAGTTATATTTAATATACACTTAAAGCGGGAGGGTTGTCACCTGCGCAGGCGTCAGATGGCCATAGAGTGTCATTGTTTACAAACAACCGTCTACCCATGAGCCTTTGCGTTTTTAGCGTGTGTTGTTATCGTCGCTTGGGACTCAATTCCCGCGCGTTCGCAGGGGACGACCCTCCCGCTTTAATTCCTCAGCTCCTGAGAGCGAGGTTTTTTGTAGTTATGTTGGCGAACGCCACTGTGTCTGCGGAAGTACTATGGGAGATTGCATGATGGGAGTGAAAAGTCTTTTGATCAATAAAATAATTTTAGAAAAGTGAAAACTAGAGTGATTGTGAAATAAAGGTTGGTTTTAAGTATTAAATATCATTGAATCTGGATGGAATACTAGTAATGAAAGGAAATTGAACGGTTATGAAAGGGCAGTAAATGTGACCAGAATGCAAGGTCAGAATCCGGGGGTCAAATACGTCACAATACATCCATCATGGCGGCTGTCAACAACTATGGATGCGGTGAAAGACTTGATTTGTAGTTTGCGTGAATGGCGGCCGGGCGAAAAATTCATGCAAATTCTGTGCTTCAGTAACAGTATTTGCTGTTTTTTTTTGTTCAATAGAATAATACAATAAAATACCGCCAAAGGACATTTCCTTCTAGTAAACAAAACAACCTTGAGACTTTTATCTTGAGAAATTGAGAAGACGAAATTCACTTGAGACAGTCGTTGTTGTGGAAAACAATGGACATACTTCTCCAAGGTATCAAGGGTATTTTTGATTATTTGAAGAGGAAAACTGCTGCCTTACGGAAAAGCAAAGTTCAATGTCATTGGTCACAGTAATTCAAATTTCTTTCAGAGGTGTTACCTGGTGTCGAAGTAATAGCATTACGATGTTTTCGAGTTTCTCGCTTTACGTCTTGTACTAGCCGAGCAACGCTTTGATAATTTATCAATATACATATGGTGGTACTTATGGCGAAATGAAATTGCACTAAAATCAGCAGACTCACCCAGAGTGGACCAGCCAGCGCCAGCGAGATTCGAAAGCCAACCGTTTAGTCAAAACACAAGCAGTTAGCAAATTCGCTAGCGAATTGGCTGTCCCAATACTTCTGAGACTTGCTGTGATGCAGATATATTGTAAATTACGTACACAGAGGTAACACTACAATACATTTCCCTTTACATTCCTAGTATTACACAACAGTCTTTGTGCTGAGGCAGTTATGGTTCACAACCATCACTAGTTCTCTTGTAAAGACTTGTATTACTGTTGATAAACACTATGTTTACTTGGTGAAGTCGTCTGTAGTAAGGCAACACCCAAACTACTCTATGTCATGATCGTGCCAATAACTACTCTGACGTCATCCTATCACCAACGTTTAGCTATTTTTAGATTTCAGCCATCGGGTTCAGTGACAGCTGACAAAAGCGTGTGCGTCAGTAGGTGTGGTATTACGGTCAACAAGACAACATATGCTATTCGTATGCAAATATCGGCCTTCTGGAGACCTGCACGAAACGGTTGCGTGGTTATGAGATTTGCAAGTGAAATACTGTATACGTATTTATTCACAGTATAGATTATAGCGTTAATTTTGCCTCATGTCGGTGGTACATACGTCCAATTGACATTGATTCCGATGACATCTGAATGTGGGTATCACACAATTAGCTCTATTGATGAATGCGTGTTTAAAAATAGAAAATAACATTTGCTTCAGTGCGCATATTATAGGAAACTGTTCTGTTTTTACGTCCTCGCGCTTGTATACGTTTTACTTGAAAAAAGAACGGCAATGCATAACCAATGTGGTCCAGGCCTGGATCCACCACGTTGTCAGAGTGAGCGTTGTTAGGTTGTTGGCTGCTCACCGCCATGGATCCTGTTGGAGTGAAACTGGTGGACGCGTAAGTCGTATTGCGCATACTTAAACCAGCAATAAACTAACTTATAATCCCCGTATAAATTGTGTCAAATCCGAAGGTTAATTGTGATTTTAAACACATTGCACGTATTTGGGGCGTAAGTGTACAAACCACGTTATCGAAATAGACCTTGACCCATTTTTCAATGTTAATAATCTAAATACAATACACATAATGAAATTAAATTTCAAATTAAATAGTTGTATTATGTTGAGTTATACTAAATATAAACTTGTATTATTGCTGACCAACTCTCATTTTACTTGCAGTGGTGATTCCGTCAGTTTAACCACACCCAGTACTATATCTGGTAACAGGGCGACCAACTTGATGACGCGTGTGCGTCAGTGGGTATGGTGATATCAACAATGAAACAAGTGTTATTCTTATGCCAACCTTCTTTGGTCTTGAGACTTGAAAGTACGTAGAATAATGGGCGGACGCGTAAGGCAGCGCAGGCTTACACCCGGGCTCTGCAATAAACTATTTTGAATTCGCAGTACACGACGATTTAAGCAAATTTCGTCATATCAGAAGCGAGGCCGAGATTTTTGCGGAGGATCAGCCAATGACCGAATGAAAAATAACGTCAACTCTGACAACGCAACGAAATGAAGCAGTACTGTGGCTTATATATTTGAAGCCAAGATAAAAGCTTACAATATAGTTTTTAGCGCTAATCCTGTATGTCCTGTGTGTAGTGTATTTTCCATTTTTATCGATAAATCCCGAATCTGCAAGAATGTGTTTTGTCTCTTGAACTTTGCTTCGAACGAGTAACTCTCTCAATGACTGCATGTTTACAATAATTACTAGGGAAGATCACTTTAGACTAGAAATGCCAGTGGTAAATTCCAGCGCTCTCTAAAAGAATATACTAAATTGTATTTGAATCAAGGGTATAATTGCACAGACTAATTGAACGACAACGATGCATATTTGTCGAACTCTAGAAAACTGTAACACAGTAGCAAAGTGGTAACTCACTGGCCCGCAAAATTGCAGCCCAGGAGCATAGAGAAAACATTTGCTGTATTACAGCAGAAGATTGTAAATTTATATGTTCTCAGTAAAGACATTGCGGGACCTTGAAAGGGGTTCGATTTAAATGTACTGTGTCTCTGGGCCAGTCTACTTAGTCTGCGACCCGGAGTGATATTGATAACAGAAGTTTGTTTCTCGTTCCCTCGCACTGGGTCCGTGTATTTTCATTCCCGTTTACGGGGAACACGTTTTCAATACGGGGGGGGGGGGCATCAAAAACGTTAGACATAATGATAGCAGTCGAATCGTTCAAATCACAGTTAAATGATTTCGACGCGAAATCTCCATTGCACGGAGTGTAGCTTTCACCCGAGGCTGATCCAAACAATCCCTGTTGTTGTAGGATCGCTGAGTTTTCAAAATAAAATGTATGTCATCAAATCCGATGATTTGTATTCATTATGATCGACAACAAAATCTGAAAAGTGTGGTTCCCTGACAGCAGAAGGCACAGGTATGATAATAATAAATACTTTTATATCGCACCAATCTTCGAGCAAGTAAACGAAAATTCCTGCTCTATATTTAAGGAAGCTGACATCAGGTAACAGAGAATTATTTACCAAAAGGTACTTGCTAGCCAAATGCAAACGCCCGAGGCCAGTCGCATCCAAATATCATGCCACGACACGCGTCTTCTGGAACCAGCGAAGTGAGTAAACAGACGCCCTCTTGTGATGACGATCAATATGTTAACATTCTGTTAGTTGAGGGCGCATCACATAACATTTCATTGGACTAGAGTGCTGGCCGTGATATTTAGATGGTCTACAATTGCTACCACTCGTCATTTTTACGGTGGTCGTATCTCAAAAAACGACGTGTCGGTCAAATAACCGTCAATTTAAATTTTCCACGTCGACTGTCGTGAATTGGGAAGAGGAAGTATGTTGAGATTGGATGGAGTTAGGGGATGATGGAATTGCGACTAGCTAAAATTGCGATCGAATATTAAGAAGTGCTTTAATACCCTTTATATAACCACGGATATTTCGGAACGTTCATTTAGTTCGAAAATAACCAAAAATCAATTGCGAGATAAATAAAAATCAGTCGGACGATTTGTGCGATGCTATATCAATGGACTCGCTCATTCTATAATCATCATGACTGAGATGGAGTTGTGCGCTTCAAACACGGAAGGGATTGAAATGTAAGAAACGACATTGCGACATGTACGCCACTGTTGAACCTGAAGGGTATTGTTCATATTGTTTTAGTCAAATGTTGAAAATCAACGAGAAACGACTTGCTCGTAAATATTTCAAGTGTACGACCGACGGTTGCAAAATGATTGGTTTTAGGTTCTTAGATGGACGATGTAACGAATGTGGCGTAATATCGTGGTCCCCAAGTGATAGATTCGATAAACAGGCAACAGATGATTACATACATTTTTTGGAAACCCGGATTTCAACGTACAAAGTCGAACTTGAAAGAGAGAGGCTTGAACGCCAGAGGTTAACTTGCGCAATTTCTAAATTTCATCGGATTAAAAAAAGAGTGCGAGGGCGCTGTCACTAAAGAAAGAGTGCGAGGGCGCTGTCACTAAAGTACGATTATAACTACTACTACTAGCATCATTATGTACGTAATTGAAAAAAAAAAAAACGATTTTGATGTATGACAATTTTTTGGGGTTTGAAGAAAAAAAAATCAGTGACATTATAACTCGTGATTTGATCATGTACTTCATCGATGCGTTCCATTTTCTCTTCAATAAATCGATTGTCAGTGAGACATCGCAACATGATTATCAAAATCATATCCACCCGCCTAGAGAACATAAACATATAAATAAGTGAGTAGCTGATTAATAAATTAAAAACATTTTAAACATTAAACATTTTGTAAGTGAGTCACTAAAAAAATCTTACCACCGCAAATTCTTCAACTTTCTGAATATATTCCTGAACAACTTCTTTGTTTGATTGAAACGCGTGTTCACTACAAAGTTCGACGATTTCAGCCACTTCCAATCGACTCTCCTCTTCGCACTTCTCCCTGTCTTTCTCATCGATATATTTCATTACATTTCGATTTTCTTTTATCTTGTCTACGTATTTGGAAATTCGGGATGTGATATCATGTACATCCACACTTCGTGACTTTTACAGCCATAATCGTAAAACAGCTCGAGGGCTTCTTCTGGGCATTCATCGAAGCGAGCAAATTGCTTAGATCAGCGTTAAATTGTTCATCTCTACATTCAAGTTTGCGGATGATTTCCAAATCTTCACTTTGTACAGTTACTTCGCTAAGGACAGAGATCGGCGTGAATGAGAACATTTCGACCGATATAACAGTAAACGAGCTCATAGGTAATTTACGGACAATCTCGTGGACTTGAGTCATATCTTCGCCCCTCTTACGAACTGCGACGGATTAGCCATTGGAAAGTATTTTCCAGGTGTTGCACGGTGTTCGGTTATTAAATTAAACATATGTATCATTAGAGTCATAAGAGTTTGCTAGAAATCTACCAAATTATTTACCGACCTTATGTTAGTAAACTTATCCATTACTTTATTCACCCGTTGAAATTGAATTTGCGACAAGAAAGGGCGGAGAAACACGTACAAGTCCAGTTTGTTACAATCGCCCAGACCTTTAATTTGGTACAGCGAATATGCTAAGAGACCGTGCGAAAGCGAATTGAAATTATCCCTTTCATAGAATGTTTACTAGTAGTTGCGTATTTTATAACTTGGAGCCATCTCGGTGGGAGTTCTCGGTTATCCTCGAAGTGTACTTTACCCAGGTATTTTCCATTCTCCACGTCGTTAGAACCGCAATATGTGAGCGATGGAGGTACTGCTTCTGATGATGCCGTATCCGACACGCTTGTCACGTGATAACCGTTAGTCATAATCAAACATCCGGTACCATTTATCACCTTAGTCACGTGTTTCCTCTTGTTACGTATTTTACAAAACAGGTCGTCGTGTAATTTCATAATATGGTAGACGGGAACTAGCCATTTATTGGCACCGCGTTACGTCTTACCTTTAAACTTGATCATTTCGACTGAATCGTATACTATGCTAGAATAAACATTTTCGTATTTGCCAGTTTCGCGATTTTTCCACGCATAGTGGTCGTCTAGGGTGAACGGAAAATAACAGCTGTCGGATATACGTTTTCCCCTTTTGCCTCTATTGATAAAGTCGGTCAGAAACTTACCATACTCTCCAATAACTGCCTCAATTTGTGGCTTCCGGAGGTAGACCCAGAATTTTCTGCAACATGTGACGTTGTAACTTTTCAATTTCAGTTGCGGCAACCACACCAATACGACTTTAACTGCATAAACTTACTCGACCATATCTAAACGACAAGACTGAAACTTTCGGAATAGTTGTTGTTTAGCGGAAAATTATGGCCAGTAACACCATTGCTTGTCTCACATGTGTATACAAAATCACCAGCTATGACGTTATCGCCATCAATTACTTGGTCGGTTCGTGGCGGTGTAATTGGATTGTACGATGAACATTGTGTTATTGTCGAATATTTTATAACGATATAAAATGGCGAACTGACCACCTATTTTGACCAAATGACCATTCACACCGCCAATTAGACCATCCACAACGCCCAATTATTTTGCCCATCTGACCATCTCCATCGCCCATCCACCTCCTTTTCTAGCCATTCAACCCACCCCATCAAGTCGATCTGCACCCTTTCGTCAATTATATTCGAAGACGTTAAAGTCGTATACCTAAATCCCGTATGTCATTTAACTTTAGGAATATTCTCACCTAAAGTGACAGTGAACAGATATCGAACTCAATTCAACAGCTTGGGTGCAAATAAATCCGTTCACACAAAAAAGTAATGGTAAGAAGGTGGTAACGCCCAAATGACGTAGTTCGGATTATGGTGTTCAGAATTCCATTTACATTGAACCGTTTACTCAAAAACAAAATCGTTTGTCAAATGAATGTACAGATTTATTTCGATTGACAATTTTTTTCGAGCTGCTTAGTGAACTGTGAAATCATCGTACATCGTGACTCAATATATGAAATCTTTTCACCGTGTGCCAATTATTCATTATAAAAAATGCGTTTTACATTTGTTCTAGTGCACATGTGTATTTAAAACGGTTATAAATTTTAGCAGGTATAGAATAATGATGAGAAACTTTCATTATATACACAATCGTCCGACATTTATTTTCGTCATATCCTGCGCATGCGCTCACATTTGAAATTTGAAGCATGGTCCATCCAACCACGCTGAATAGGCTGTGTATTCTGTTACATGTTTACACTTATTTCTGATTAAAATATGTTGCATGTTTAAAAAATGTCCAAGCTAACTACTGTAAATGAAGAAATTGTTTTTTTCTGGGTTTTGGCACGGCCACGAAAAAGGTCATACATAGCTTCATACATTTTTTATCTCTCAATGTTGTTGTCATACAATGGGTCACATACTGATGCAGTTGAATAGTGAAAGTGTAACAAATTCACAATGATTTTCAAGCTACATGCTTTTAGACATGGGATAAATTCGTATTTAGAATTGATGAAACACATATAACATTTTTAAAACCAAATTCCATCTTTATTATGATGTATAACTGACCTCAAACCTGGTTCACACACGAAACGTGTCCATAGTCGTCTGGATATTTAAAAGCTGATTTTGTCAATATTGCCTTCACTGGCATGCAGTATGGCCTACATTCCCCGCCCCACCTTCACCCCATACTTCAACCAAACCAAGTTCAAGCTCCCATATCTCAGAGTTCGTAAACTGGAAACCAAACAGAACAGCCGGCTTTCAACAAAATAACTCGTTTTCGTCGTATATTCACCTTAATTCAATCGCCACTCCGAAAGCAGTTCAAGGAGAAATTACCTCTACTAGTACTTCGTCTAATTCCAGTTGTGATCCTAAACTAAATAAAATTGAAAGCCAATTATACTTATACTTTGATCTGTAATTACATAGAATAGTTGAATTTGCTAACGCCCTAAATAAGAATACAAAGCACCAAAAATTTGTTAAAAGACTTCAAATAAAAAATATTAAATACATCTTATAGTGTGTAAGCGTTCAACGTAGAAACGTTGACGTAGGGAAGCATGAACTCTTTTTGCAGACAAATGGTTTATTTGTGCCCAGGAACAATTACGTCTAACCGCATTTAAAGTAGCTCATTTGCATATTAAATGCATAACATCATACCGAGTATAAATTGTCGACGTACTGTGCGAACCGTATCACAACAGTGGCATTGATTCTAGATTCAGGTTCAGGACGTTTTTTAAGTTTAACTACATGCAAGACTTCATTTGAAAACCAGTAAGTTGACCAGTATTTTATTATAAAACATCGAGTTCTTTTATTTTTTTTTACAAAATTTGTCTTTATCATTAATCCTCAGCTGGTAAAATTAGTCTTCCGCGGTTCTCTACTAAACATGTCCGCCTGCACGGTGGTGTTCCGATCGGACATTCCGCATGATAGTATATTGCTTTGCCGGAACCTTGAAAAGACGAACTAAATATTTATTTGGTCTTCATAAAATACTGAAGTATAAGTTCAACAAAAAACGAAATGTGTCAGTACTTCACACAGATCTCGCGATGCTCAGAGAACTTCACCGGGAACGAGATCTCGGAATCTATTTGCATTCAAGGTATATAGTGTACCCTACAGTGAATGATTCACCGTTCAGGGAGATATCTAATTAAATGTATACTTTTAATTCCAGAAGTATGATACTTAAATTGCGCATTGTTCTACTCCTAATTGTGGTAATCAGCCTGAGTGAATGCAAGAAGGACGGCAGCCATGGATCACTGATGTCAGAGAGTAATAAAAATAAACCCAAACCGAATAAATTTGGTTCAAGTGACGAGATTGACCAAATCGATCCGCCCGAACCATTCGAAGGACCCCAAGCAACCGAAGCACCGGAGCCAACCGAGACGCCTGATACAGGAGACGATGCACCGATCGCAGTACAATTGCCTGCAGAAATAGATGGCCCCGTAGGCGGCGAATAACGAAGTGAAATTATCGCCGGCCGCGTGGTGGAAATGTATATAAATAATTAGAAAACATCTCCTAGAGTTGAAAGACAACGATATGTATGTAGGTTTTAGAAGGGACGATATTCAAATAATATCTCTCATAAGCATGTACCAGGAAATGTCATTTATAATAAATACAATATATTTGATATTTGATATGTGGTTTTTATTTTGTTTTCAGGGTGATGTCTAACAATCAGTTTGAACATAATAAAACATGTTTTAGAACTAACTTCATACTTCTGCAAATGGATCGAACCAAATACTTAGCACGAAAGCATTTCTCGGTGTTCCAGCTGTCCCGTATTACGGAACAACCGTCGTATAATAACACATTTCGATTATTGTCCAAAATTGTGCAAAGTGTGCAACCACTTATTCTAAGCTTGTCTTTATTAAAGGGACTACTATTTTTACTTTGTCTGATGTGTGAATTAATCATTGCTTTAATGTGGACGCTCAACGATGGATTGTGAGGTTGACACGTTCCTTTCAGATGTAACGTAAAACTGCCGATCGAGTGTATTGATCTTATCCTCAGTGCATGTAAACGACCCAGTTGCTCTAGAGTAGCGTTTTTATGTGGCTTTCAATGGGAAAACTGACGCCTACTTCACAAAGTATCAGTTGTGTTCTTGTTTATTTCAGAATCTGTAAATGGGCCCTATAATATGCATCTTCAATTCGATAAATATGGCGTGGTTCGTTTCATATAGGGCGTGATTCATTAAATCTGTAGGATACTGTTCGTATAATATAGGGCGTGATTCGCTCAACCTAGGGCGTGATGCTTTCATATAGGATGTGCTTAATTTAATCGATTTAATCTAGGGTGGGGTTTACTAAATAAAGGGTGTGGTTCATTCAATCCAAGGCGTGATTTTTTAATATAGGGCACTATATTTCAATTAATTCGGAGCAAGGTGATTTCAATTTAGGGTGTGGTCCAGTTAATATAGGACGTGGTAAGTTTATCATTTACATTACAGATTACATTACAAATACTCATAAAGAACACGCTTACACCGAATGATATACATTGTGATATTGTTATCAAAGCATGCGTACAAAATAATGTTGTATCTAACGTCTGTGCCATAAATACTAATACATCAATGAAAAATAAAAAGTCACGTATAATCACTGGAAGCACTTGATTCGTAAAAACGTTAATGAAAAGTATGTTATACGGTCTGATTATTGTAGTATGGATTATAATTGACGTTTGCTTTCCATTGAAATTCCAATCTTGAAAGTCTAGCTATGCTACCATATATAATCTTAGTCGGGCCTAAATGGGTCGAACTTTGCTATCCACAAATATACTAATTATCACACGTTACTATAGTTACTACGTTTAATATATCACACCACTGTTGCACGATACTAATCTCGACTATTATTACATTGGTTGCTCCTCTTATTACTATAACGTTCTTCACAGCACAGCCAGTTCGGCTTATGGTGCAGCTCAAGTGCCATTTTACTGATTACTCGAGAACAAATTCGTTAGTCAACAAAATGTACTGACTTATTTAGATTGATTCTTTTTGAGAGCTGCTTAATGAACGGGCAAATCAACCAAATATATGATATTTTTCACAATGTGTTTATTATTTAATACAAATGTATTTTACATTTGTCCTTGCATGCACGCATATGTCAAATGATTAACAGATATACAATGATTTTAAGCAGATTTCATTATCTACACAATGGTCCGACATTTAGTGTTCATCATATTCTGCGCTTACATTTGTAATGTAAAGCTTGAAACTTTGTTCCCCCATGTTTACTAGGATAGACTGCACATTTATACCTACTGACTGATTTCGTATACTCTGTTACGTATTTACATATAAACACTCTACGCGTTATTTTTGCTTAATTAAAATATGTTACATGTTTCAAGAAATTCAAAGTTATATACTGTGATACATGAAAATGTTTCAGTTGGAGTGTATGACCATGTTCATGGTCACCAATTACTTTATTTCAACTGGTCTACCTTTCAATGTTGGTATGATTCCATGAAAATGGTCTTTCAGATATGGAGAAATGTATAACTGGCGAAAAACATGTAATAGTTTATTTTAAAAGCCAAATGCAAACTTCGTTATGACGTATAACTGACCTCGAATTGGTTCACACCCAAAACGTGTACATATTTGTCTGAATAGCCAAGAGCAGATTGTGTCTTTACCACCCCCACCCCCCCGTTCTTTAACCAATTCCACTTCAAGCTTCTATATCTCTGAGTGAAGCCAAACAGAACACTTGGCATAATAATCTACCCACCTCAATTCGATCGCCACTTCAAAAGCAGTTCATGGAAAAAAAATTGAGTATTTTAATTAGTTTCCATTGTGATCCTAAACAAAATAAAACTGAAAGCCAAGTATACATATATTGTGATCTGTATTTACACAGAATAGAAGAATTTACTGACGCCCTGAATAACAATACAGCGCACCAAAGATTTTTCACAAGACTTTAAATAAAAAAATATTATTAGAACGCCAATAATGCGTATTAATAATGCGTATTAAACGTTCAACGTAAAATTGCTGAGGTATGGAACCGTGAAATCTTTTGCAGACGAATGGTTTATTTGTGCCTGGGAACAATCAATACTAACCACATCTATAAGTTTGCACATTTGCATGTGACAATACAAGGAATACATATAATTATCGACGTATTGCACGAACCTTATCACAACGGTGGCATTCCAGACTCATGTTCAGAACGTTTCCAGTCTGATTACGTGTAAGATTACATATAAAAACCAGTAAGTTGACAATCTCTTTTATTATTAATGTAAAATGTTCTCTTTTTTTTACAAAACTTGTCTTGGTAAATTCTGGTAGAATTAGTCTTCTACTGTTCTCTTATAAATATGTCGTATCTTGTATTTGGTCTTCATAAAATATTATCACATCTCACTGTTGTTACGCATGGCATTGAATACAAATGGATATCACATGGTATATATATAGCATGGATAACGTCACTGAAACTAATGAAGCAAATATGCACGACGAAGCCGCCACTGAAACGTCGCATCGGGGATCGCTTTGAGCATTTCTACGCGTTCCACGCCGATGCTCACCAAGAACGCTTGTGAATAGAAAACCTACGTTGGTGAGAAAGTCAATGCAGCCACATCCACGGCACTCTGACATTTTTATCTGGCGAGTGCTGAAATAACTTGCGTTTGAGAACTTCTCAATTCATTCCAATAATTTGATACTCACTAAGTGAGTCACACTGGAGAAACACGGCTACTAAAAACAGTAACCGTGGCTGAAAAAAAAAAACATTCACTGAGTAGCAATGTATATGTGTAAGCTACTATTGAGTAATGTTCCACTTGTTATAATACACAAAATAAAATACTACATACTTCAAATGTAAGTGCTGCTATTTTGTGGGAGAGCGCGTGTAAAAGATGTATGTTAGGAGACTGTGTATGTTCGATGACTGTTTATTGTGATATAAATAACACATGGTCATTCGGGCAATAGTCGGCTATGGCATCATCAATATTATGGTCACCACCACCATACCTTGCAGGCAAAAAATCGTGAAATTGCTATTATTTTACTAAAGTATAAGTAGGGCATAACGAAATGGGCAGTGCTTCACAGATCTCGCGCTGCTAACCAACTGAAATCCACCGGGAACGAGATCTCGGAACCATTTGCATCTATTAAGGTCTATTGACGTTCAAAGAGAAATCTAATTAGATATATTTTTTTTTATTTTCAGAAAGTATGATGCTTAAATTGTGCATTGTTCTGCTCCTAATTGTGGTGGCCAATGAATGCAAGAAGGACGGCAGCCATGGATCACTGATGTCAGAGCGTAATAAAAATAAACCCAAACCGAATAAATTTGGTCTGCGTGACGGGATTGGCCCAACCGAACCACCCGAAGCGCTCGAACCAACCGAAGCATCCGAAGAATCCGAACCAACCGAGACGTCTGGTCCTGAAGATGACACACTGGTCGCAGTACAATTTCCTTGGAGAAATTAATGGCCTCGTAGGCGTTAAATAACGAAGTGAAACTATCACGTTTTCTTGAAGCGGATGATAGTGTATATGAATAACTAGAAAACATCTCCAGGAGTTGCCAGTGAAAGACGATACTATGTATGTAGGTTTTAGAAGGGGCGACATTCACATAATATCGCTTATAAGTATGCATAATCATTCGTGGAAATACCATTTATTATAAATACATAAATATAATATAATAATATAAATATATTTGATATGCAGTTTCTGTTTTGTGTTCAGGGTGATGTATATTAATCAATTTGAACATAAGAAATAAATTATGTTTAAATTGTGCTTTAATGTGAATATTTTATAACCAGTTTCATAATTCTGCAAATGGATCGGGCTAATTGCTTAGTGCCAACACATTTCTCAGTTTTTCAGTCGTTCTATATCACGGAATGAAGCCGTAACATAATTGTACATTTCGATCATTGTCCATAATTGTGCAATCTGCTCTAACCTTAAGCTTGTCTTTATTAACACGATTATAAATTTTATACTGTCTGATATGTAGCTTAAACGTAGCTTTATTATGTCCGCTCAAGGAGAGACTGTGTATTCGACTTTCATTGTTTGGCTGCCCGCTCAGCCGCACTTTTACCCTTTTACCCCGGTGCACGTAAACGATCCAGTTGTTCCTGTCGCAAAGAGTGGCGGTTTCTGCGGCTTTCAATTAAACAACTGACACATAAATCTTATTGCATGTCTTAGTGCTAATCTGCAAACGGGTCCGATAATATGAGTGGATAATATGCATCTTCAATTCGATAGATATTAACTAAATAAATAAATGATTTTCTTAAATATAGAACGTGGTTCATTTAGTGTAGGGCGTAGTTTTTTGATGTTTTCAAGTCCATTTCATTCAATTAACTCAAATGTTTTCACAACTACTTTTTTTTTAATTGAAGTCACGCATACAACGAAGGATATGGCGATTATATTGTGATATATTGGTATCAACGCATGCGTACACTGTACACTGTACATGAAAATGTTGTATCTAACATGAATACTAATTCACCAATAAAAAATAAAAAGTCACATATAATCACTGGAAGCACTTGATTCGTAAAAACGTTAATGAAAAATGTGTTATAAGGTCTGATTATTGTAGTACAGCAAGAATTTCCTATTTGTCGTTTGTTTTTAATTGATATTCCAATCCTGAAAGTCTAGTTTTGCTATCATTTAATATTACACGCCCTTGAAATTCATCGATCATTGCTATGCACAATAATACAACATATCACAAGTTTCTATAGCTGCTAACGTTTACGTTGCACGACACTATCGTTATTAAACTAGGTGTGGCTGTTACTATTATAACGTGCATCACAGGACACTCACTACGATTACTACTGATAGTACGATTACACTGGGCTCTATTTTTACTATACTGCACAGTACTATTACTACACAAATGCAACTGTTTTACCACATAAACGTTTATTGCATCTTACTGTGCATTGTACTAGACTACATACTAGTATCACTGTACAAAAAACTGTTTTTAATGCACCAGACACTACTATTGTCACTACTATTACCCCTCACTAGTCACTACTATTACTACACAAGTTACTACTATTACTACACTAGTCACTACTATTACTACGCCAGTCACTACTATTACTACACAATTAGCACTATTTTCACTACGCTAGGCACTACTTTTACTACACTAGTCACTACTATTACTACACTAGTCACTACTATTACTAAACAATTAGCACTATTTTCACTACGCTAGGCACTACTTTTACTACACACAGCACTAATATTATTTCACCACACACTTCTATCACTAACCACTACTAATACAACACTAGTCACTAATATTATCGTCACTAGTCACTACTAATACAACACTAGTCACTAATATTATCGTCACTAGTCACTACTATTACTACACTAGTCACTACTATTACTACACTAGTCACTACTATTACTGTCACTACTCACTAATATTACTGTCACTAGTCACTACTATTACTGTCACTACTATTACTACACTAATCACTACTATTACTTCGCCAGTCACTACTATTACTACACAATTAGCACTAGTTTCACTACGCTAGGCACTACTTTTACTACACACAACGTTATTATTATTATTTGACTACACATTACTATCACTAATCACTACTAATACAACACTAGTCACTACTATTACTATCACTAGTCACTACTATTACAGTCACTACTATTACTATCACTAGTCACTAATACAACACTAGTCACTACTATTACTGTCACTAGTCACTACTCTTACTGTCACTAGTCACTACTATTACTACACTAGTCACTACTATTACTACACTAGTCACTACTATTACTGCACAATTAGCACTATTGTTACTACGCTAGGCACTATTTTTACTATACACAACACTAATATTACTTAACTATACATTACTATCACTAGCCACCACTGTTACTACACTAGTCACTAATATCACTAGTCACTACTATTACTACACAGTTTACAATATTCTCAATACGCTAGGCATTACTTTTACTAAACACAACACTAATATTACTTCACTATACATTACTATCACTAACCACTACTAATACAACACTAGTCACTAATATTACTATCACTAGTCACTACTATTACAGTCACTACTAATACAACACTAGTCACTACTATTACTGTCACTACTCTTACTGTCACTAGTCACTACTCTTACTGTCACTAGTCACTACTATTACTACACTAGTCACTACTATTACTACACTAGTCACTACTATTACTGCACAATTAGCACTATTGTTACTACGCTAGGCACTATTTTTACTATACACAACACTAATATTACTTAACTATACATTACTATCACTAGCCACCACTGTTACTACACTAGTCACTAATATCACTAGTCACTACTATTACTACACAGTTTACAATATTCACAATACGCTAGGCATTACTTTTACTAAACACAACACTAATATTACTTCACTATACATTACTATCACTAGTCACTACTATTAATACACTAATCAATACTATCACTAGTCACTACACAGGATGACTATTACTGTTCATTACTATTACTACATAATTAGCACTATTTTACTGCGCTACGAACTACTACTACGTTACAAACTATTATAACTGCACTACTTTTACTAATAACGGTACAACGTTAGATTTAACATATTCCAAAATAATTAACGAAAAAAATATTATAATGGCTATCTATTTTATATCATCGTAGATGTTATCACTCCCAACTGTTTTATTGGTTGTCGAAGAGGACACGCCAGCGAAACTGGGTGTCTCACTTGCTGAGACCGTTTTGCTACGTGTAGGAGCGCTGGGGGTGACACTCAGTGAAACTGGTGTCGTAATAGTGACTGCTTGTTTACTCGCGTCTTCTGTTCTGTTACCCGTGGACTGATTGGGAGTGGCTGTACTGTCTGTGTCGTTGGTTGTTGCAGGTGTACTGTTGTCGTCTGGCGAATGAGTATCATACAATGGTGTTGTTCTATCGCTCACTGACTCAGTGGCGGTGAATGTGCTACCAGTGTCGTTGGATGCTGCTTGCTTACTCGTGTATTCTGTTCTTTTGCTCATGGAGGCACTGGGGGTGACTGTGTTGCTCGGGTCGTTTGTTGTTGTTTGTTTACTCGTGCCGTTTTGTGAATTGTTTTCAGTCATTGTGCTAGTTGATAGCATTTCGAAACCTGTAGCATTCCCACTATTGCTGGTAAGTTTGGTCAAATTTTCATCTCCCGTGTCAAATGTAGAATTAGAACTCAAGGCGACGTCGTATGAGTCACCGTTGTTGGCGCTGTCATCAAAAATAATTGAGCTGTCCGGGTCGGATGAGTGACGGTCACCCTGTTTGGGTGTGGTCGTCCATGGAACTGGCGAGGGCGTTGTTGTGAGTACAAACAGAGCCTGATAGAGTTTATCAATGGCATTATCGTCTTCTTGGTATTCGAACAAATACTCTTCGACGGTCTCCATAATCATTGAAGCCAGCGGATCCGGAATTTCGTTTACTTGGAATAAATAGGTGAATTTCTGCACGATATCGTTGGGTAGCTCTGGTTTGTCTTCTAATGGTGCGCCATCGACGGCAGATCTTAAGATTGTGACAACAATGCACGCGATGTAGAATTTCATTTCAAAACCATCAACTGAAAATGAGAAACAACACAAGTTTTTTTTACATTATTCAACTGCAAAAAATATTCGAGACGTTTCTGTAAGTCAGTGACGATATATATATGGTTTGGGTCACGGTGTAAAACACCCCAACGTCAAATCTGATAATTACTGCAGTGTTAGCACCGCGACTGTAATTTATATTCGTTTGTTCGTTGATGATTTATCCCATTGAAGTGTTGTTGTCATTTTTGAAATCTGACTGCGACCTGTAGTAAGCATAATTTATTATAATCCTGGGGTTGAACCAAATAAGTTGCAACAAACAGCGAGGTATTGTGACACGATACTCAAAATCAGTGCCAACTCTGATTCGGTTCACAAATTTCTATTTGTGCAAATTGTGTAAAATTTAATATGGATGATTTGTAAATATAACTAATTGTTGGAAAATACCAAAAAACATAATTATGACTTTACTTATTAAAGTCCTATCAATTTATATGATGCATTTGTATTTATTTTTCAATATCATCTTGTGGTTTAGAGCTATTTCGTATGTTTTCAGTTATTCAAGTTTACAAATTTAGGAGGTTTTTCAAAAAATGAATCGGAAACCCAATTTGTTTTCACTGAATCGAAATAGTCGCGTTAATTTTTTGAAAAAGTTGGGATATACTGTTTAATCATTTAATTTCCCCCATATTTGATCCTATTTACTGGGTTTCACGAATTTGCCGATGAAACAATGGGTTATATTGTTATGTATGTTCCATTTAGCGTAATTTATTTATCCGCGAAAATAGCGAAATTGAAACACAATGAATAATTAATGCATTTACAGTATTTGAATATATTATATCTATGAAACTTCTGTCTGAAATACTGTTTTAGTCACATTGAGCTGTAATGAGGTCTCACTCTCCCACGACAGGCATATACACAAATACTTATTTTACTGCCACTCAGTTTAAATAATGAAGCAATGGTTCATTTTTATCAAAATACTCGCTTTGGTGGCTAGTATGCTTACAGCCACTTCGAAGTGATATTGTTCAGTAGCAACGCACATAAACAACGCGTCGTAGGAAGTACTAGTAGAGTACTGGTGATCACATCGACAGTTACTGCTCTGAGGGGGCGATAGGGTTGAAGTGGAATGCTTACCTTTCAGTTTCCCCATGAAGCAGAATCCCCAGCCGTACCCTCGTCTTCGTAAGCTCCAATTCGTGCGTCGGCGATCGGAATGAATATAGAACAAATATCCCAGCAAGTTTAAATACATTTTCTGTATGACGTCAGATACGGGCAACAGCTCGGCTTAAACGGAGTCTTTTGTTTTGGTTGATTACTGTCACAGCGGTGTCATTAACAACTTTATTGCTTATTATTTTGTTTATGGCTAATTATAACAATTACATCACGTTTGTGTCATTGTTTCGAAGAATGACGACAGACGTGATGTTCATTGTATGGTGTATTTATGATATCGATTGGCACTTACGTAAAAACGACAAAAATTACGTTTGATACGTGCGTGGGAACAACATATCTTTTATTCTTACTCCATGTAATTATTATAATTACCAGCGTAATAACGTTTACATTTCATAGAATTGGACTATGTATAGTTTCAACTTAAACACTTGCAAAGGATATCGATGATTTTGGGACGCCTGTATTGGAAATGGTAAGATGTGGTTGGAAGACACTCTCGGCAGTGTATCTCGACACGCCATGACACCTCGACGATCTATGGGGTCCATTCATAATTCGATTCATAAAATCGACATGGCGTGGCGATGGTTATGGGATTGTCAAACATAAACATACCACGTGATAGCAGAGCCCGAATGCCGTCCGAAAGTGTCGGGTAATGCCCCGTGACGACCCAGTTTATATCCCAAGGGAACGCGCCAAAACATAAATAACATCGGCAACAAGATAATTAACTGTGATGTCATTCATAAACTTATCACCCCGGGCCTATTAAGCAGTGTGTATCCATATGATAGTCACCGAAGTCATGCTGCTATAGGCAGGTCACCAGTTGAGCTTGGACACGACATTGTTATCTTGAAGTTGTGTGTAGATATGTAAACCTTATATTATATCGATCAATCATTGGTCCTTTCTGTTTATATAACCCACGAATTCGGTGCAAACGCACCCATGAGTATTGACAAGACCATATACCCGTGAGAAAGTTCGCCCACTTTTCATTTCGATACGCATAATTAAGCGTGGTGGTTGCGTTTCAGCTGCATGAACTGACTATAATCACGTGATATCCGCACGTGCCTGTCAATGAGCCGTGCAGGGTCGGAGCCCTATTGTACGCTGGTATTTTAAAAGTTTGACTTTATCAAATCGACTGTGCAATTGAAAAATAAAAAAAATACTGGACATTTTGTTAATTATGGTAAATTGTCTTGCAAAGGATGAATACTGAAGCTACAATTCATGTTCCCTGGCAACGGGTGGCAAATTATTCACACATCACAAAACATGCAAAATGAATAGATAACATTGCAAATTAAAGTTACATGCGGCATGAGTGCGAAATTATGACTTTGACATAAAAAAAAGAGTACATTTCTTTGGCAAATAATCTAGATACTAGACTATATACCATGCCAGACGTCAGTTTTCGACATTTGCTGCCACTGTCTCCCATTACTTTTTTGCATTTATAAAAAAAAGATCTCGACGCAAACAGCCGCCGAGAATTCGTAATAGAGACAGCGAGAGATACAAGACACTTGTTTTATCTAATCCAACAGTGGTAACCATGGTATTTGTAGTGGACGTGGTGACGGGAGAGAATGGTCACTATTTGAGGGGGCAAACTAATTGTCGTGGCTCACGCGCTCTCACGAGATCTCGGCGGCCATTTTTGTCTATGATATATTGCAAATAAGGCAAGTGCTAGAGGCTCCAGAAAGCATATTCCATCATCGGCTCTACGTGACAGGACCGTGTTAGATATGTAAAATTAGTTTGAAGATTACTTTACAGTGAGTAATCAATTGTGTAAACTTTTTTTTCAAATATTGTTAGTAACATTGTGGATGACTGAGCTATCAGCAATATGTCGATACTATTTACATGTGATATTCCACATATTATGGCAGTTCAATGTAATAAAGCAATGTAATAATATTATTCATCTCAATCCAATCCAGGCATTCTGATTGGTCCGTGCAAGCAGATTTTTATTTGACGTCATGGCTGACTATAACAAACCAAACGAATATCTTAAGATATTGATGATTTACATAATATTTCTTTAATTATTATTTATAGCAATTATATTATTTTGAATATTTCTGGTGGTTTCAATTGTCGGCTATAAAGCTGATATAAAGCCGTATCATATGTTAGCCCTCATTACAAATTCCCTCAACCTCAACTTTTCTGCGCACATAAATGTGTTTCTTCCATGTCTAGTGACGATTCGTCACGGATTGTGAAACGACCACGGGTTGAATTGACTTCCAATTTAGTTAATATGTTACCAATGCATCACCAAACTGTATTTCTCAATTTCAATTTCAATAGAATAAATTAACAGTAATTGGCGTTCCGGCACGGCGATTATGCAAATAAGACATGAGGCTTTACGATCTTGAATACACGCTCACAAACTGCGAACTCTGCGTTAGTGTTGAGATGCCGAATTGTTCGAGTTACGGACATCGATTTACAAACACGCCCAGAAACCACGCCCACTTTTGCGAAACCATGCCCAAATTTAATAACAGTTAACCGAACTTCGGGTTACGGGCAACACAGATTTTGTTAACGTCCACATTCAGTAACTCGAACTATAAATAACAGTTAACCGAACTTTAAATTACGGGAAATATTTAAATAATAACACATGCTTGTGAGGGTAATGTCACGATTTGTTGCCTGCCCAAGGGATGGCCTTCGGCTCTGGCATCAATCAATATTATGGTCATGACTAACAGCATTCGCCAGATAAATAAGTCAGAGTGCCTTTGAAGTGACTGAAATTACCTTCTCACGAACGTACCAAACCTTCTATTCACATGTCACTCAGCTTAGATCGTTTTCGGTTAGCATGAGCGTGGAATGCGTAGAAATGCTCACATCGCAGAACGCGCCGCAGCGATCCCGGCCGCGACGTTTCAGTGACGGCTTTGCCGTACATTTTTGCCTCATATATAGAATATCCTAACCACCAAAACAGAGTATCTTACTTAATATCCATTCTGACACGTTCGCTAAATGGCTAAAGTTTGTGAAAACCTTGAAAGCAGCCCGAAAGCAACAGTGACCGGGACAGCAGCAATGCAGCGAACGACAATTTGTTATGCGCAGTAGTTTCAGTGACGTCATCCATGTGATATACCCATGTAATTTCCACATGGCGGGCAATATACCATGTATTATCCATTTTTATTCAATATAATGTGACCGATTCTCAACCAATCACAGCATGCGTAACAGCAGTGAGATGTGATAAACAACGTTAAAGAGCGGTGGTCGTCGCGCTGCGCATGTGCGACATTCGTGTTGATAAAAATTGATTTTCCCACAACCCAATGCGCTCTTCTAATGGAAATCACAATGATGAGGTTTGATTTGGGCGCGACTTGCACTAGTTACCGCAGGTGACTTCTTCCATACCTTCCAACCACCTAAAAAATACTCCATTAAAGCTTGGTAACGTCTCCGTTTGTAGCCGTTGATCTGCGCACGGTTACGGTTTTTAGTAACCGTGATCTGCGCAACAGTCAAAGCCGCCGTCTTTGTTTCCATGAGACCCATATATTTAGCGCATGCGTGGCGCTACGACTACCGCCGAACCAGCTTTCAAACTATATTGCAACGTTTTACAATTAGTGAACATCGTGGCTGTACTGGACATTCGAGTACCTAATGTATCAACATAACTATTCTATAGTGTTTTTACAATAGCTCGTGTGTATTTTCATTGCAGTTTACCGGGGCTGTTCTTAAGCCACTAACAGCATGGCGATTATTTTTACCTTTCGAATGATGACATTAACTGCATTCTATAAAAAAAAAAAAGTTTCAACAGGCTTTTTGATAATTGAATGGGTATACCAATTATCCTGTCATCAGGAAAATTTATCGCGATGTGTACAGACAGTCTGAGTTCTTATGTGGTTCCTCGAGGCGGGAGCACTCGCCATGTCATACGCTTCAATCCTTGCGGCTGATTACTGGGGAAGGAGGCTATTTTTTCTGAAGATGGGCAGGACTCGGGCCTCATTAGGGTATCGAATTGCAGCAACGTGACCGAAAGTCTGGTACCAGCATCAGTACTAGGGTTAACTTTTTATTCTTTACTGCTGACGCTCCAGTACCTTCCAAAACTATTTACGTGTTCCTCTATTTATTAGACAATACCGATCTGAAAAGTAATGTGACGTGCATCAAACCCATAATCTCTAATGTATGTACCAAGTTTGAACAAAATCCATCCATAAATGCCAAGATACAGTTCTGGAATGCCATATATGCTTGATTTTTAATGTATTTTTAGCACAAAAATGGCTGCGTCCAAACGGGGACTAAAAATATGGTGCCGATGTACATATTAAGCCAAATACGTGGACGTAATCCTCTGCAAGATGTACACAAGAAGTCTCACCCCATGCATGCCTAGTAATCCTTTCGTACAACTGACTGAAAATGACGACAGCGAGTGGTACATATATATGGGGGCCATTGGAACACAAAGTAATGGCAAGTTAAACGAATCCCATTGGCCACCGTGACAAGAGAAATTGACCAACAGTCACCGTGAGTGAACCATGGTGTGTAATTACCAAGGATACCTTTTTGAGTATTTCAAGTTAGGTCAAGCGGTAGGTACATCGCCTTCAGCGTTGTGTTTCCTTTGTGCTAGGATGTCGAGCGTTTCCTTTTAGTTGCCGGCCAGTGTTCCAGGATTGGAAGCAAAACAGGGTACCATTCACGGAGAAATGGAGGGAATGTGGATAATCGCGTATGTAACTCGACGAGGATTTTTTTCATGAACATCTTTGGTTTGGTTTTGATAATTAATATTTTGTTGTTTACATGTTGGTGTCCAGCCAGACTGAATATTACATATATTCCACGAAGGTTATAGTTGGCCACTATTTTCAACATTGAACAAACGCAAAAACTCGAAGGTATTGCACCTTACCGGATCACAGAACCACAGTAGGCGAATATATCAAAGTATTCCGTCGATAATTCGAATATATATTTAAATCACGGTCTTAAAACGAATACATAAATAAATTGTATAAATTTGAATTACACTCTGTTATTTACTGCCGAAACCGATGGGCGCCTATGCTGTACTTTAAGAAATTGTCGACAGATTTCGAAGTGAATATCCATCAAAGAAGCTTTGATGATTTGTATTGTGGAGACAGACGCCCGGCCAATGTGTTAGCAGGGACGGTACACACAGCATGTGATTGTGATTGGAAGTCTGAAGAATGGGAAAAGGAAGTTGCGCCCTCTATAGACGAAGCGCATAAATGACGTATGAGAGTCTACGGACGACGGGAAGGAGTGGTATTGACAACGCATCCTTGATCTGCGGTAGTCTGTCAATGACAATCAGTTTTGGTTTCTTAGTATCATTGTAAATGACAAACGACAGTTTTGTATATTTGAACGACACTGCTTACACTCAGGTACGTCATTTTAGAGAAAATAAGCGTTTCGTGTTTATGCAGTCGACTTATTGGACAGATGTATTGTGGGGGAATTCAATGAAAGTCTCGGAACACTATTTGGATATTACAGAGGATTCTTCAATCAATAGTATATGTAACGAACAATGCAGCACACGCATATTGCACACAGCGCTTTTGCACACAATAATGTTTCTGACATAAGAGATACCAATGTTGACTGTCTGACGTCGAAGTAACCGGGATAATACTGAACGATTTTTCTAAAAAAAAAATCATGCAATTCTGCTGACCTAATGCGATAAATGCTGACGGCGTATTACAGGAACCCCGAGTTATTATCTTATTAGTATCTACTTTATCTCCATGCTTTTGCTGAACCGTCTATCATGATATCATGTACCACAGACAGGGGGGTATAACATTTAAGAAATACTTAATCCGAATCAAATACAGTAATAACCACAGTGACATTACTTGTATTTCTGTAACACGAATTTGCTTATAAGGCCACAACTTGTCTAAGACAAAAGTTTATAGACTTTATTTTCTTTGATGATTTTTGTTCTTTCAAGACGATCAATATTGAAGAATCCTTTAAAGATAATATAGTATACGCGGGTAAATATACTTGCATACAGTCTCTTGTATATATATTTTTTTCAATAAAATTAAAATATCATGGGAGTGTGTAATGGCAAAAGTCGGGTTATCGCAAAATAATGTTTATGAAATGTTTCGCGGGAACCCGGCTTTAACCATTTATACACTCACATATTTAATTTTATTTAATTAAACACCAACAAATAAGAGACTGTATGCCAGTCTAGCGGGTAAATTGTATCAGCGCATATGTTGTCTGCTTGATAAAGCAATGGGAAATGTAAGATATGTACTATCGGATGATATAGATTGGCCAAATGGAGAAATGCACGCCGTCTAAATTATTATGACAGTTCTACAGAATTGCCACGAATGTCACGTGACAAATGGTATTTCCATTACGGCCAGGAGTTCAGTCATTATGTGACATCGTTGGTTGAACTCCGAAATTTCGGCTCCAGATAACGAACTCAAACATTGGCTAAAAATAGAGGATCGGGAATACTCTCACGAAAGAACACATCTGAGAGAGATACATCCACCCAAACATTATTCACACAGTGTTACATTGTTCCAACGAAATAAGTATATTTACTGTCATGTCCAGTTAAACTGGAAATATCGCGTGATTACGAATATCACGTCTAAAAGGTAAATGTTCACGTTATGTGTAGTCGGTGTTCCTCTGTCACCAACAGCGCGTATATTAAACCCATATAATTTAATTTTTTTTCTCAAACACAAACGTTGAACGGGTCCGTGCTTCTTTGTATATATATATATATATGCATTTTTAAAGCCGAAACAAGATGCATGATATCTTGCGAGGAATTATGATCATTGATATCGCCAGCTTACGAAGTATTGTGTTTTAATCGCGCGAGACTATGACGTCAATTGCGGTAAGTGAGTAACACCGAGTACACAACGAGATCCTCGAGGTGGCCATATAAAAAGTACTTTACAGAATAAAAATCATAATGTTAATAAAAAGTATAAACACCAGTTTCTATGTTTTCAATTTTCAGTTCATTAAAGATGAAGACAAATATCCGTAATATTACAGTTACAGGGTAAAAAAATACAACAATAAAAGAATGCGGTTGTCTTAAGTTACACTGACACGGCCATGTAAGTCGGTTGCTAGCAAACTGTTTATCTGCAGGACGAGCCCAGTTTTAAATAAGTTTCCATCTGTTTGGAGTCAAACTAAAGATGTTTTTGTCTTTGAAAATCGACGAATGGGCGTACAGAAAGGTGCCCTTTGAGCCGGGCAAAAACAGGGAGATCTCTGTCACACAAAGAGCGTATTGGCGAACGAAGGAAAAGGGGGGAGGGGGAGGGAAGTAATACAAATAAATAATCAAATTTTAAATTGTACTTTTTAAATATACAAGTGGTCTAAATTGCGCAATGCAAACTTACGGTATCTGCACATTTTCTGAGGAATAATACTAACATTATTTACACTTAAAAATTCAAATACATCTGCTATAATATAGTACACCGGGAAATCAATTTACGATGACGTCAAGATTGCGTCAGTTACGTCACATACATCACTCGAGTCCTATACAAATGTTACACAATTTAACAAGTTTGTTGGAGCGCAATCGTCCTGCCAATGTCATTTGCACGGTTATAACACAGATGCACGACGATTATCTGGTATCACAACAACGGTCTCCCTCTGTTATACGAGTCTAGCTACCACAGTGAACCTACTATGTACAATGTAAGGAAGCAACTACTAGTATGTCAAAATACCATACTTAAACGCACAACGGATTAACTTAGACGTGACGCGGTATAGTTTAAGTTGTGCATATGAGTTTCATCACGACGAACTTAAGTACCATGGACAACTTTACCGGTAGAAAAAAACACTGTAATGGAATGGTGATCTTTTTTTCATACACAAAAGACACTTTACCTTCACATTATGACGATCGCCTACACGCCATCAATGATAAATTGTAATATCTACAAATTTACTAACATCTAGAATTTTAAGTTTAATAGCGACGGAGATGCGCGTATTTCGGAGAATAAAATGCGCGTCGAGTCAAGTAAATCTGGTGCAGGATAAATAGGTGCTCATTAACCTATGAATGTAGTATGAAGTATACATTCTAAAACGTTTAATTTCACAAATGTACTTTTTTCGAGAATATACTTCTCAGCTTTGCAGTCACGCCATGTTTAGCACACCTCACAGCTGAACAACAATGAGATGTACACAATGATGCACGACGTTCAGATGGTTGGCGGCTGGAAGTTTGCATTTATTGAATCAAGATTGTCATTGACGTTGTAACCAGGAGTTGCAGGTTTAAAACTATCTTGATAATGGTGGTAGACAGGCTCCATGTTGAAGTACGATCCTGGCAGCGACGGCATATAGTCGTCATATTCGTACTCCTCCTGGGAGATTGAAAAATCGCTCTGTCCATGTTTGTGCAATCTTCTAGGCGTTCCAGGTCCACTACTTGTCCGCGATCGAGAAGATGGCGTATCGGGTCTCCTATTTTTGCTAACATGACTAGGTATGAAGGGTACAATATTTTCTGGACTAGTTGTTCTAAGTGTATTGCCAGCTGACAACGTCCTCCTTTCTAAAGGCTTAGGATCATTATACCTACTAGGATTCGGATCACTAAGAACATCACCTTCAGAGTCGGGGCTTCGTGGTCCACCAACTCTATTTTTTGGCAGGCTTTCAGACGAGGTTATATAACTAAGTCGGAATTGTTCACTTGGCTGTCCTTGCCTTATTCTCCACAATAGCTCCTGTGTGTGTTTTTCCTCTTCTGGTTGTGGAGTGTGGTTATTCTCTCGGTATTGCCAGGGATCGGGAGAAACAACTTTCTTGCTTCGACCATCGGCAGTGTCAGAAGAGCCTGAGCGATACATACGAGATATGTTCCTAACAGCGTTTTTATCTGATCTTCCAGAACGCTTAAGTTTTTGTTTTTCTCTTAATGGTGATTTTATAGCATTGTTTCGATGATGTCCATTCATTTCATGAGAATGATCATAAAATGCTGGTCGTGGGGCCTCACGGCCCTGTACTTCAGGAAGAATTCTACCTCTTGTGCCACGAGAGTTATGTTCCCTGCTCTCACGGGGTGGGGTGCGATCACGATCATTATATCTCCTATGTCTACCACTGCCACCAGACCTCGAACCAGGACTACGATCACGATCACTTCCTCTCCTTTTACCACTACCACTACCATGCTCTCTCTTTTTAGGGTAGGAACCATAATAATCTCGTTGATCTCTTTGATTACTCTTCTGTTGCACTGGTTTAGTAGGACTAAGGTCGTCATCCATATTCCTAGCCACTGCCATACCTAATGGGGTTAGTTTGCCTTCTCTGTTAACATATGGAGCTGAGTTTGCATCACTTGTCATACTTGGTCTACTCGTGTCACTGTGTCGACTAGATTTCATCTCCCTGGAAGATTTACTGTTCCGATAGTCTGCTCGATTATTAACATGCTTTGGATTGAATGTAGCCTCACTTCCCATTACACTGTATCCCCTGACTGCATACTCTTCTGGTGTTCGTATGGCTAATGTTGTTGTGTTCATATCTGTTCTACCGCTGCTGTGCCTACTGCTGCCGCTTAAGGAACCATTCCTACCTCCCAAATGATATGGAGATGATGCGTTCCTGGAATGTTGTCTGCTTTTTTTTGGATGCTTTGGACTATGGGATGGGCTTGAAATTTTGACTGGTGTTTCATTGCTTTTTCTAGAAATACTCGTGTAAGACGAGTCATGATAAGGCGACGTGTAATGTATTCCAGGTTTCAGCTCCTCGTTTTCTTTCGCGACTTTGTATAGATGGCTCCTATCTCGCATCTTGCGCATGGTACTGGTGGAAACCTCAGACATGGATGATGTGGGTCCATGGAATAGCCTTTGCAGACTCTGTCCAGTCGATGACACTTCCAAATTCCAACTGGCACTTCCATGTGAGGTGTCAATCATATTGTGTCCCATATACTCTCCACTGTTCAAGCCCATATTTCTGTCACGTCGCTTCTTCTGAACCCTCGCCCGAGCGTGTAAGGCGAAAGCAATGCTGGTGATGATGATGATACCACAGATGGCTATGCCCACAACAGTGACAACACTGTTCACAATATTTTCGGTAGACATTCCTGTAGACGGTGTCAGCAGTGGTGGTGCAGGTTTAGTTGTGTAATCTGAAATGAAACATAAATAAAACAAAATAGTAAATGAAATTTTACTACGTAACCTTTCAACAGCACAATACATACAATCACATGTACGAACACATATGCACTATAAGTCGATGGGATTCATTACGCAATACTAATCGCTCCACCCCCACTAAATAATGAAATAGAATTTACTTATTCATTTACTTATATATACACTTTGTCAAAGTATTTTTATCGGGGATCATCACAATAAAAAGAAAAAAATATTTCACAGTTTACACAACACGAAAAAAGAAGTATCATGACAAACTGTATAAATCAAATTAAACGGGATTGTAACAAATGTCTAAATAAATGTTTCCAATTTGGAACAATATTATATTTCGAACTTTTATAACCAGTGACCAATTAGCATGCTAATATAAATGTAATCCAGGTTAGAACAGCCCTCGCGCAGGCTTTATTATTATTATAGTGCATGTTTTATTTATAGTTGCAACATATTGAATACTGCTGGCAGGTATATAGATATGTTTGTTTGTTGTTTTGCGCAGACAACAACACATTGCTACCCTGCTAAAAATAGCGTAATCTCCATTATCGTCGTGGTTATATTACGCCGACACACACGTCAGTGGATTGGATAGAGTTGACCCAAATTTGGAATGAAAATCTACGTCATGCATACTAGTTTTAGGACAAAGTTAATTTGAAAGCATTTAGTGGCAATATAAACTCCGTCAGTAAACTACCCAACATATCTGGTTTGGAATTCCAAATTGTTGTGCGTCGCGAGATATCGTTCGCACAGATATCGTGAAAAACAAATTGGGGAGCAGAATTCCATACTTTCTTCCGATGGTATGCATTAATATATACCGACATTGAAGATACTTTCTCAAACGCAAATGACCAAGTCCGCGATAACCCAATGGGAACCAGACCAAAGTTACTTTTACGTCATAAATTAATACATACATATATACCAACACATCAATATGCTGAGTTAAAACGGCGCTCTAAATCTGTCATTATGCATGTATGTCAATGTTTGCACTCTGTTTGGAATGATTAATTAGACAGTCCGAACTAGAGAAACTCGTATCAACATAACCTTTGACAAAAATAAATCCACGCAAGGTAACATGCTAGTATAAACACACAAAGACTTTGCACTAGGTGTCGATTTTTTCCACGCCCCCCATTCCCTAAAAAAACATTATTCAACAGTTTTTATGTAGATGTATTTTAGCGAAACTGAAGTTACCAAAGCAAATACTCGGTGAAGTCAGACCTCGTGGCGAATTACAGTTTACATTTCGCTGAGAATTCTGGGTACATACATACATACATATATACAGTATATACTTATTCAACTGTTTCAATAATTGAACAGGAAAAAACAGATGGAATTGACAACATCATAAGATGAGCAATTTTGAGAAAGTATAAATAATTTGTCTTTATAGTTTGAATTTTTCCACATTAATGAAATAAATGGAAGTAAAATTTTATATCGAATATCGCGTAAACAAAAAAAAATGATTTTACTCGCATTGACTACGTCACGTGGGTCCGATCTCAAAGACGAAGCGGCGCGTCGAATGCTATGCTTTAAGTAACGCCAATCAGACATGCGGGTAAGTTAGTCTATAAAAAAAATGTCATGGTAACAGTCGACAAGTGTGCATCATAGTGAATGATACAACTTCCACAACGTATAAACTGTACATTATGTAAAAATATTTACAAATAAATTACTGTGCAGCGCAACGGCCTATATAGTATAGAGACAAATGAGTGATTTATTGTATCTACCGCTTGATAAAAAAAAAATTACTCGTGACAAAGGCTTTTGAAATTGGCGAGTACCTTGTAGGTATTGTACATTTCATATAGATAGTTCTGATAAGAGTGGCATGCACTTTATTTGATATTGGTGATTGCATTGAAAACAATGTGTTATATTTGATATTACTCGAAATATTGAAATGTCTACTTAATATTTGTTTTTACTTTCTTACGAACACAGCATATAAATAGAAACTCTTGCGGCTCCGCGTCGATACCTATCTATGTACATATATATATAAGACTGCTTAACGTAGTCAGATTTTACGTTCGATGATCAGTCACGTGTACAACCAAGACTCGAGACAAACAATGCAAGTTGGTTTGCAATGCTTCGATTAACAAAACCCCGAGGTGTTTCCCTTCTACTAAACGCCATGGCATTGTGTTGACAGATCGCCGCAAAATGGCGAAAATTATCATGATTAATGTGTTTTGGAGACAAAGGCCTGCCCCAGTTGGCAGTGGCTGGTAATTGTGTTGTGGCACGTAGTCACGGACTGTGAGCACCAATATTCTCACAGTACACAGTTATGAGTGTACTGAAGTCTGAAAATCTGTCACGCTCGGTTTTTATAACCTTTGACGATGTTGTAGTATTAGGTAATACAAATAACAATATGGAGCTAATCGATTTGTAGTCACCGTGTATAGTGGCATATTCTTACACCACAGGCACCGCAGTCTGGTCTATGTTATCCCCCCAAAACGGGGCTAGTTTCTGTTTGACAATGCATTTTTCATTCAACATAAACAATCTAGTGGGAATAGCAACACCGATACCCATCATGCATTCCACGTACACGATTCGACTCTAGTCGTAACCGGGCCGGAGATACAACGCCACTGGCACTTACTTGCATAGGCACCGCGAAGCTCCATGTCTATACGGCACCATAGTTCATTAAAGCAACCCGTGGCGTAAAGCAAGGACAATAATCACCACCTAAAGTACGCTCTCACTTTGGAGCGCGATATGACGCCAAAATCTTCTAACAAAATCGTCGTAAAATACCTCCAAATTATATAATCGAGGAAGAAGCGCTAAATGACAGTTCGGTGAATATTTACTCCAATGGTTCCGCTGATCATGTTTCATGTGGAAATTTCTTTTTAAATTTCCACCAAAAAATAATGAAGCTTTAATTTGGACTGACACAAGATATGCTTTTTGCAATTTCTAATTTCGAATTAATGACCACCGTTTTAGTTGCACAAGCTTAAGTTTCAAAATTCCCAAATAAGCTACTAGACAGACCAAAGTAGGCAGGCAGTGCATTTTTAATTTATGGGTTTCGCGATAAGTTATCGAGTGACCTCATTAGGTGTCCCGAGTCACTCGGATACACATTGCGGCATGGTGTGGTTACCCACAGTCACCACGTGAGAGGAGTATGGGTCCGCCCGCAAAGATATCGCATTTCCGGCGCGGTTGATGTATTTTGTTTTGAAGTATAAATATCAAAAATAAAAAAGATAAATATAAATTAATACACATATTTTTTATATATAGGATTATTTTTAATTTTATATTTGTTCTGATGCAGTCAAACGAATTTAAATGAAGAGAGTCGAAACCTGCATTTTTCACAATTGTTCCGTATTTCTTAACCCATTAAATATAATACTTAGCAACAATTATCGGTATGATGAAGATATGTAAAAACACCGAGGCAGCTGCAAGGTTAATTTCAGTTCTCACACACAAAAAGTCGCACGTAGCGATGTGTACGTTTACACAATTGTTACATCTCTAAGTGCGTGTCATAGTGTTCACATGAAGCACATGATCAACTTAAAAACTTACGCACAGGAACCTTATTAGCTCAATAAGAGATTCAAATACCAGTACTGTATACTTTGCATACAGCGACAGAGGGGCAGATATGACAGTGATTCTACACAACGCATGTGTTAAGGAGTCTCACCGGGTTATAGAGTAACCTAAATCATGAATGAGAAGTGGAAATAAGGTAGCTACTAGTAGTTTTCCCGCCTCTACTGTCATACAAGTAATAACATAATAAACTTTTTAGCAGCATATAAGGAAATCATATAAACAAGCGTTACATCAAAGGGCAAGGCTGGTTATGTTTGTGCATGGCGGCGGAACGCCATGTATAACTAAAATACGTTTATTTTGACATTTGTTAACCAAAAACAAACATAATGATGTGACGTCATAAGAGTTGATTGTGTGGTATTGGAGATTGATATCCCAACCATTACATTCAATCTGTGAAAGTGGTGTATCGAATACCAAGCTGGTACTTTCTTATTTTACTTTTGTACAAAAGCAGTCTGATTGTCCATATGACATACAAAACGTAACTTCATTTTGCATAAAATTTGAACATTGTGTTTCATAGTACCTCTTGAATAATACAGTAACGGTAAGATTTGTCATAGGGTAAATGTCTTGTTTTGACAATAAACGTAGCAGTAGTTGTTTGATGAACCAATGATACCGCCAGTGCGTCTGCGCTTCGAATTACATGCACTGATATGTAAATCAGGGACGCATGCGTACTAGCGTTTTTCATTAATTCATGCAACTAATTGTACTATGTACACGAATATCTGTTACCAAAAGAACACGTTTAATAATTATCTGAACACTGTGAAAAAAAACTTACAAAATTGTAAATAGCATCACAGTACACTGATGCCGAGAAACTTTCATCGAATGACTTGTACCATAGACCCTCTAAAAGGAGGATAGGAAACTGCGGTATTTCCTCTGATCTATGTAAGTTGTAATCATTTTAATCCCGTTTACCTAACGGTTCACGCATAAGCGATAATCTCAACGAAGTCTCGCAAGTTACGTGAAGAGGTTATGCAAAACACTGTGAGATTATGTAAATTACCAAATTAGAGGGTCTATGCTTGTACATACAAGTCGGACATTGACATTGACAATCAAAGAAAGTTCAAATATTTGAAAAAACAGGCAAACATGATGGCGACTGAAAGTCAACAAGTGAGAATGACATTAAGAATCGCCTAAGTGATCGATAACGTTTTCGAGTGGACAAACGTTGATTCAAATATATTTGTTCAAACCTTGAACTTCACACTCATTTGGCCATACGAAGCGTCCTATTTAACTGATATGCCACTTAACAACGAGAGAAGGGGTGAAGTTTTGAGGGGATGGGATAGTAACA